GGGTGCTGTGGGGCAACGGTCCCTGCAGCCATGCCGCCTCCATGGCAAAACCCAAACGTGGCCTCTTATCTTTATGCCCCCGGCTGGGTCCAGGCTAAGCGCAGGAACACAGAGGGCCTGGACATGGGCGGTCTCTCCATGACCTCCCGAGAGTGTCTCCAGCCATAAGAAGCACTAGCCGTGAAGGATAAGGCCGAGCAGCCAGGCCGTGGTGAGATGAAGGTCTCACTTCCCAGGAGACAGCGTGGAAGTGCCTGACCTGCAGCTGTGGGATGCAGACACAAGTGGGATGCAGGCAGAGGCTTAAGCAGCAGCGCTGGGAGTGCGAGCCCAGAGCAGCCCTCGTCCACACACAGCTTGTGACTGGCCAGTGACAGGAGCCATCCCTTGAAAAGGCACACCCGAGCTGCACGTGTGTCCCTGGTTGAACGGCCCAGACACCCAGGTGTCTCTGTGGCCTGTCATGGCTCATCTTGTGCTTGGGCTGGGGGTAGTTTGGTGGCCTGGGGGGACAGACACCCACTGGCTGAAGCAGAGACCACTCATGCACCAAGAACTACCCCCCACATGATGGGGACTGGGGTTTGCCCCTGCAAGAGGAAGCAGGCATGTGTCAGCCCAGAGCCCTGGACCGTGACTGCTGAGTCAGGCCTGCCACACTCACCAGCACGCCCCAGAATGGAAGGAGGCCACAGATCCGGAAGCACCTGGCTCCTGGGACCTTTGCTTGTGTATAGCAGCATGTCTGAGAATAGAGATGGGAGCTCCAGAGAAGTGAATTTTCAGGACAAATGACAAAATTTCAGCATCTTACTAAAACAAGTTAGACACATGAAAAGAGACACGAGGGTGGAGAGGGCACGTTTGCAGAACGCCACGTGGGCTGATGGTTGGCACGTCAGTGAGAAAAGCTGGGTCAGACTGGAGGGCCTTCCCTGTTAGACCAGGGGAGGACAACCACGAGTGGAAAGTGGAAAGCCTCGTGAAGGATCGACAGGTGACAATCCAGATAAGTACCAGGAAGAGGGGAGAAACTGAAGCTGGAAAGATGGCTACCCTTTGGGAGAGGCTGCACAGTGTGGTGTAAGCAATAGGGGAGAAACTGAAGCTGGAAAGATGGCTACTCTTTGGGAGAGGCTGCACAGTGTGGTATAAGCAATGGAGCACTGCTCACAGGCTGGGCCGCGGGAGGCCCGAGTGCGGCGTGGACCAACGACAGGCCCCGTGGGATGCCATGTGCCTGCGGCCCCACCAACCGGGATGATGGGGCAGGGGGACCTCAACGTGCTGAGACCCTGTACCTCCCACCAAAGCGAACGAACAAACAGACAAGGCCTGTCTTTCTTTCCTCCTTTCTCTCTAAAGGGGGAGGTGGGGTGCAGGGGCCGGTGGAGATCTTTGGGAAAAAAATCCCAGTGCGTGAGGTCTAGCACAGTGGCTGTAGATAGAAAGAGGGAAGAGACCAGAAGGAAAGGTACAGCCAGGGAAGAGGAGCAGACTGGATGTGGCGATGTGTTTGGGGAGGGGTGAATGACGAGTTCCAAAATGACCAAGTTTCCTAGCAAGGAAGAAATATTCTGCCCAAAGAAACAGAGAAATTCAAGGTTTGATTTACTCTTTTTATGAATATCAAGCTTCTACTATATGCCAGGCACCCTTTTAGAGATGGGGGTACAGTGATAACAGACAAGATTCCTTTTCTCAGGGTGACAGGAAATAGAACAAAGCGATAAAAGCAGATGATGGCGTGCCACGCGGAGAACTACACTGCGGGGTTGTCGTAGGCGGCCACTGGGCAGCTCCTTTGAGCGGGTGATCAAGAGAACCTCTCTGAGGTAAACTGAAATCTAAATGGCAAAAAGGAGTGACCCATACCAAGATGGAGAGAAAGCATTCCAGGGAGAGGGAGCCTCCGTGTCCGCGCCCATGAGAGTAAGGCGGGGATTGGTTTAATCTCTTCAGGGAACAAAAGTGAAGATTATAGAGTCTGGAGCCCTGTTTTCCAGGGCATCAGTAGAACCAAGATCAAGAATAGAGGCAGGAGCAGGGGCCAGCAGGTGGTGTGGTGGATAAGGGCGCTGGATTCCCACATGGCCAGCCATGGTTCAAGTTCAAGTCCTGGACCTGGTGGCTTGCTTTCTCACTTTCCCTTTCTCTCACTCTCTCTCTCTCATCAAATAAAGAAAAAAATAAAATGACAAATGGAAATAAATAAATAAATAAATCTTTTAAAAGAAATAGAGACAGGAGCTAAGTCATATTAAAATATGTTAATTCTGGATGTAAATCATGTCACAGCTAGGTTCGGGAGTGTGGGTTTTACTCCTAACTTGATGGGAAGCCATTTTAAGCAGGAAGATGATTTTAAAAGACTCTCGTCTGTGGGACCAGTGGTGGGACAGTGGCTGAGGTGACCGGATCACACATGGCTGACAACAGTTCGCGTTCTGGACTGCATGGCTTGAAAAATTTGCCCGTCTCTTGTGCACGTGTGCCCCAAATCTTGAGATAATCGGAGAGAAGGGGTTCCAGAGGGCCACCCCCCCCAAAGGGTGTTTCCTTTCTCTTTTCTTTCCCTCTCTCTGTCTCTCAGGTAAGCACACGTGCTCTATACCAAATTTTTAAAAATAAAATTTTGAACTGAGCTCTTATTCCCAGGTTTAAGGCAATGCTTTAAGAAACTCAGTCTGACAACTCCTTGCAGAATGGATTAAAGAGATGGGCTGTGGGCAGGACGAGAATGAGAAGGTGTGGCAGGGGTCCCCTGTGAGTTAAGGCCTGGATTTGAATGTGGAGAATGAGGGACCTTGATGACAGACAGCACATGGTGGTCTGGAAAGGGTTAGGAGGTAAAGGTTACTTAGGGTTTGAGCCTACGGGAATTGTGATATCAAAGATACGGAGAAGAAAGAAGGTAAGAAATCAGGAGAGAGAAGAAAAGTCACTTCAGATCTTTTTAATGTTCAGGTATTGTGTTGCAGGTAGTTAGAAATAGGCAGAAAAATGGGCGAAGTCCTGGTAAAAAGATAAGATGGGGTGTCATCTACCCAGATATAACCATGGGGAGGCTTGATTATATAATGTGTGCATGTGGAAAAGTAGAATAAGAAAGGAACACAGTGGAAGAATGAGCCTGAAACAGCCACTATTGGGGGAAGGAGAAGGAAGATAGCTTGTTGAAGAAGAAAAATAATTGGAAAGGGGAACCAGCAGTTAGCATAATGGCTATGTCGCTGGACTCCCATGTAGTTGACCGCGGTTCGTGTCCCAGACCCGGTGGCTTAAAACTCAACACTGGGTGCATGAGTGTGTGTGCCGAAGATCCTGAAAGAAGAATGGAGGAGAAGGGATTGCAGTGGGGCCATCCTCCCTGAGGGGTGATTTCTCGCTTTGTGTCTGGTGAACACATGCTCGCTATGGCAAAAACCTCTCAGGAAAAAAAAAAAAAAAAAAGGGAATTGGAAAGGGAACAAGAGGTCTAGGATAGTGCCACATGGGCCTGGAGAAGAATTCCAGGAAAGAGCCATGGTTAATGGTGTCAGGTTATGGGACCAGCAGTTGGCGTAATGGCTATGTCGCCAGACTCCCATGTAGTCGACCATGGCTCAGGTCCTGGACCCAGTGGCTTGGACTCATACAGGTGTGTGTGCCCAGGATCCTGAGAAAAGAATGGAGGGGAAGGGACTGTGGCATGGCCATTCCCCCTGGGGGGTGATCTCTCACTTTCTATCTCTCTGTCTCTCTCTGTCTTTCTGGCGAGCACACATGCCCTATAGCAAAAACCTCTCCAAATAAATAAATAAAGGTGTCAGGTTATAAAGAGGTCAAGGAGAGAGAGGGGAGAGGAAAGAGCGAAGTTGAACTTAGTAGCAGTTGAATTTGGCTATTAGATCATTAGAGAACTCCAAGAATTTCAAGAGAGCAAAAGCCAGACTACTGTTTGTATGCATTCTTTTCCATTTTATATGTTTTTTGTGTTTGAATAAAAACCCAAAGAGATTAGAAAGGTAGTTTTCGGTTGAGTTTTTCTCATGAAACTAGCAATAACCTCAGTATTTAATAACACTTTCACATTCGGAGTCATGCAACCATTTTTCTCCAGTGGTCTGAGTCTTTGTCATAGTCATTCCCTAATAAGTCTTAGATGAAGCAACTTTTAACCAAGCAAAGAAGATAGCTAACACTTACTTGTACTCAGTGTACTTCTCTAAATGAGAAGCCAATAAAACTGTGTGGGCTGCTCAATTTCAGATCATTGTTTACAAGGCTAGGACACTCCCAGAAACAGGCTACTTCCTGGCACCTCGTTTCCAGGTAAGCGATTAGCTGATTTGACTCTCTCTCCACCATTTTCTTCTCTTTTAGGTCTTGGCATGGTCACACCTATCAACGACCTTCCTGGTGCAGATACCTCCTCATACGTGAAGGGAGAAAAGCTTACTCGTTGTAAACTTGCCAGCCTGTACAGACTGGTGGACTTGTTTGGATGGGCACACCTGGCAAATACGTACATCTCAGTGAGTTCTTTAACGTTCAGTTCCTCTGTGTGTGTGTGTGTGTGTGTGTGTGTGTGTGTGTGTTACAGAGATTTTTTTCTATAGGACGCATGCACTTGCTGGAGAGACAGAAAGTGAGAAATCAGCTCCTCGAGGGGCTTGGGGTTTTTGGGTGCTCACACACACATGTCCGGCATGAGTTTCAAGCCACCAGTTCCAGGACTCAGACTGCAGTTGACTGCGTGGGAGTCCAGCGACGTAGCCATTATGCCATCTGCTGGTCCCTCAGTTCCTTTTTTAAAAATTCCAATTGTGCTCTTTTCACCTTTACATGGGATTTTCGTTTTCAGACTACTCTCTAAACTTAACACTCTAGATCACAAGCTAAGGCTGTTTTGAGGCTACAGTTCCCCAAACTTTCCTCTCCCTTTGCTGTCTGTGTTGTTCCATTAATTCAATCCATTTGAACCTATCTGGAAGGAAATTCACATGGCATAATTTTCCCTCTCCATGTTAACTATATCTGAGCATCAGTGACATGAAACAAAATTTGGGACAAAGAAAACAGGGAATCAGGGAAATTTCCTTCCTGTTTTCATTTTTAAATATATATCTATATATAGACACACACATATATATACATACATACATACATTTTTTTATTTTAAAAAACATTTTTAGAGAGATTTTGCTATAGGGTGCGTGTGCTTGGCAGAGAGACAGTGCGAGAAATCATTCCCCAAGGGGGATGGCCACACTGCAGTTCCTTTTCCTCTGTTCTCCTTTTGGGATTTTGGGCATGCATGCCCATATGCCCAGAGTTTCTCAAGCTTCTGGATCTAGGACTGAAACCATGGTTGGCCATGTGGTGGTCCAGTGATATAACCATTATGCCATCTGCTGGTCCCTATTTTTAAATATATTTTTCCCATTCACTCTCATCTTGTTTTCATTTCGCCACAATTGAAAGCAAGGTGTTATTGGGTTGTCAGAAAAGTCGTGATGCATTTTTGCATAGACAAATACATCATGACTTCCCTAACGACCCAATATTTGGAAGTGAAAGACTGTGTGATAGAAATGGCCCAGGCACATGGCACAGCCTACCAATAGATAATATTTCTTCCTTTCCTTCTGGCCATTCCATGGTTTCCCTCTTCTATCTCCACCCTAATTCCTTTGTAAGAAGAGTTTCTGTTCCCTTTCCATTGCCCACTTCCCCTTAATTTCCATGTTGTATATTAAGGTTATAATCATTACCACATTGAGTTGAATAATTTTGGCATTTGTTTCTCATGAATATGGCTGACCCCAAGCAGTCTTAGAACCATTAAATAACACTTTAAGTTGATCCAGGAAATGAGAAACTAATGTCAGGACGTTTTTAGCAAGTACTTGAGTTTAGGGAAATTTTTAAGGACAGTCTCACGTCGTACACCTTTAATTTTTGCTTTGTTGTATTTTTTTTCCTCCAGGTTTTTTACAGTTACTCATTGTCATAGATTTCTAATAATGTTTACACTGCAAAATATGAACAACCTCGTAGTAAGTAACTCCCTGTTGTGTTTTTTTTCTTTCAGGTAAGAATAAGTAAGGAGCAAGACCACATTATCATAATTCCCAGAGGTCTATCTTTTTCCGAAGCCACAGCCTCCAATTTGGTAAAATTTTCATTCCTATGCCACTTTTTCTCCGCTTCCTTGTGCTTTCCTAACAGTTTTTAGCCCCTAGCACAGGATGGAAAAAGAAGAGATACAAATAATGAAACATTTACTCCGGACCACTGAAGGCTTGGAAACTGTGTTGATATTTAAAGAAAAAGTATAAGAAAAACAGGGTAGTTGTAGAGACTAATGAGTGAGTTGACTTAAATGGTTAACTTACCCATGTTTTGAAGGGAATTATAAACAAAACAAAATGCAGTCTGAGGTTTTGGAGCTAACTTTAAGCAAAGCTTAGTTGATGTGAACATAGGATTTGAATTTCTGGCATTTCATCTTCTCCATGATGGCACTCCTAGCCCTGCCATCAGCATGTAGACCAGCAGGAACAACCCGGTTCTGTGTGCTACAGTGTGAGCAAATGGACATTTTCCAACCAGTGCAGGAAATGCTAGACCTGCCCAACCTCCACTAGAGAGCATATATTACTGTTTCTTAGAAATTGTGCTTGCTGGGACCAGCAATTAGCATAATGGCTGTGTCACTGGACTCCCATGTAGTCGACCGTGGTTCACATCCTAGACCCAGTGGCTTAAAACTCAACGCCGGACGCGTGTGAGTGCATGCCCAAGATCCCAAGAGGAGAATGGAGGAGAAGTGATTGTGGCGTGGCCATCCCCCCTGGGGGGGTGATTTCTCGCTTTCTGTCTTTCTGTCTCTCTCTGTCTGTCTGGCGAGTGCATGCGCCCTATAGCAAAAACCTCTCCAAAAAAAAAAATTGTGCTTGCTAACTGCTCACTTTTGTTACAGACTACTTGTTTTATGAATAAAGTTTTATGGGAACAGAACTTTACACATTCTTTTACAAATTATGTATGACTGATTTGTACTGCAGTGACGGGGTAGCTGCAACAGAGGCCCACTCCCCATCTCACCTTTTACAGAAAGTCCCCTGGTTAATGAACACAGGCAAATTTTGGTCTGTGTGTACCAATTAAATATGTCTTTCTGATTTTTCTAGGTGAAGGTCAACATCATAGGAGAAGTGGTTGACCAGGGAAGTACTAACTTGAAAATTGACCACACAGGATTCAGCCCCCATGCCGCAATCTATTCAACACGCCCTGACGTGAAGTGTGTGATACACATCCACACCCTTGCAACGGCAGCCGTAAGTCACTGAAGGGCCAAGACCGGTGATGACTGTAGAAGATGTGTTATTTTCATGGCTTTCTCAACATGATGCTTTACTATCTGCATGCTTTTATTTTTTTTTTATTTTTTTATTTTTTTATTTTTTTTGGAGAGGTTTTTGCTATAGGGTGCCTGTGCTCACCAGACAGAGAGAGACAGAGAGACAGAAAGGGAGAAGTCACCCCCCAGGGGGGATGGTCACACCACAATCCCTTCTCCTCCATTCTCCTCTCGGGATCTTGGGCACGCACGCACACGCACCCGGTGTGAGTTTAAGCTACCGGGTCTGGGACTCGAACCACGGTCAACTACATGGGAGTCCAGTGACATAGCCATTACGCTAACTGCTGGTCCCACTATCTGCATTCTTTTAGACCTTACCATTCCAAAATCGTATTTGAAATATTAATTCTCGACATACCCAGAGAGGTAAAGGTCCTTGGGAGTAAATGCTACCATTCTAGGAAACCATGGAAGAAGTGCCATTTGGATTTTTAAATTAATCGGTTTAATAATTAGGTTGTTGAGTTATTTGGAGCCAAACTTGGACACGGCATTTAAATTCAGTTGTATCCTCTAATTCCTTTTCTTTTTTTCTGAAAGAAATGAAGAACTGCAACGAGAGGTCAACTGCAGTGGTGAACACTGTGTTTACCAGCACTTCCTGTGCTGGCTGGGGAATCAGGCTCCCATGAAAATGTAGTTAGTGGGACCAGTGGGTGGGTGGTGTGGTGGTTAAGGCGCTGGACACTCCCACATGGCCAACCAGGGTTCAAGTCCTGAATCTGGTGGCTTGCTTTCTCACTTCTTCTCTCTCTCACTCTCAACCTCTGTCTCTCTCTGGTCAAATTAAAAAATAAATGAATGAAAAAATAAAATAAAAAATTATTTTAAAAAAAAAGAAATGAAATGTGGTTAGTATCTAAACGTTTTTTTTTGGTATGAATCCAATCAAATAGGTATCCTCCATGAAGTGCGGGATCCTTCCCATTTCTCAGGAGTCCCTTATCCTGGGAGATGTTGCCTATTACGACTACCACGGGTCCCTTGATGAACAGGAAGAGAGAATTCAACTGCAGAAAGTTCTGGGGCCAAGTTGTAAGGTATGTAGTAGTGTTTCTATCTGAGGAGCTATTTTTGTTTCTGCTGCTGTTGATGAAAACAGTGTGAGCTATGCCAGTTATTTCAAGTGATTGCTCTGGGGATTCTATTTTAGGTGCTGGTGCTCAGGAATCATGGCGTGGCAGCACTCGGAGAAACAGTTGAGGAGGCTTTTCATTATATTTTCAATGTGCAGATAGCCTGTGAGATCCAGGTAGGAAAAATGATCCCCCCCCTTTTTTTAAATTCTGTTGTTTTTTGCTTGTTTAGTTTAATTTATACTTTTTTATTTCCAAAGACTTATTTGTTAATGGTTGGTTTGTCTTCTAAGAGAAGTTTTACTTAAGTCAAAAGATTTGTCAACTCACTTTTCTCTTTAATTGAAAATAGGAGGAAAAGAAATGAAAAGTCACACACACATAAGTTTTCATAAACATTTTCTCTACTGTTCTACTTTTTAAAATAGTAGAATTATATATTTCTCCATTTTCACCCTTTAGTGTTAGCACTAATTGAGAAACAAAGGCAGCCACAAATACATTTTGAGTTGCATATCAATATAATGTATACACTTTTTTGGAGGGGGGAGAGATTTTTGCTATGGAGCATGTGTGCTCGCCATAAAGACAGAAAGCAAGAAACCACCCTCCAGGGAGGATGGCCATGCCACAGTCTCTTCTCCTCCATTCTCCTCTCAGGATTTTGGGCATACACACATGGGCCTGGCATGAATTTCAAGCCTTCCGGTCCAGAACTCAAACAACGGTCGGCCATGTGAGAGTCCTGTGATGTAACCATTATGCCACCTGCTGGTCCCCCTAATTTCCCTCTTAAAGAAAATTAGACAGATTCTCTTGAAGCACATGGTAATCATTTTTAATTCATTGAAAGGGCCACAGAAACAGGACAAAAACTTGTTCTACTAACTTGTTTTAACAGTGAACTTTTCCCCCCTGCTCTAATGGTCCCTACTCTTCTCAAATGGGACCTGTGAAACTGAAATAATTAGCTGATGACGTCTGCCTAATATATCCTTAAGTTCGTAGTGCAATGCCTCTATATTTCTTTAAAATTATAACTTTCAGCAAAGGTATTAACTGGATAGATATGGGAAACTTCAAGAAAATAACTTTAAAAAGGCAAGAGAATCCTGTTGCTTGCAGTAAGTCTGAAGGCATGACTCCAAATGAGTTTTCCATCAGGGAGGATGGGAGTCGTGGAAGGTATCTTTTTCAGATAGATGGAAAAAATATGTCAAGCAGGAAAAGAAACTTCAGCTGCTTGCGTAAGAGTGTCGCCTTGTCTTTGTTATTAGTAGCCTGAACAAGTTGTGAATATTTGCCAAATTCTGCCTTTTTGAAAGTAAAATATTACTTGCAGTCTTTACAGTTTTGTCTCTGTATTTTGCCATTAATTACAGGTGCGGGCATTAGCAGGGGCAGGTGGCGTAGACAATCTGCTCGTGCTGGATTTGCAGAAGTACAAAGCTTTCACTTACACCGTAGCAGCATCTGGAGGAGGAGGCGTGAATATGGGTTCCCATCACAAATGGAAGGTTGGAGAGGTTGAGTTTGAAGGGCTGATGAGGACCCTAGACAATTTGGTAGGTGAAAAATTAAATATAAACTTGGGTTTCATGGCTTCAGGTTCTAGAGCAGGTGCTTCCATCTCCCTGTGGTTTTGTATTGTGGTCCTTTCTCCTCCAGGGGCAGCGTTTGACCTAAGAAGACATTTCAATTTGACTTAACCACGTTTTGAAGAATCAAACAGTGGAACATGTAAATGTCGTGTTTTCCCAATACAATACATTGTTAATAACCACATTATGGTCAGTAACTATGTGGTGCAATGTATCTTTTGAACTCACTTCCCTATCTAATGGAGGTTTTGCATCCTTTGATCAGCACTTCCCAGCTCCTGCCTCCAACCCCTGGTAACCACCATTCCATTCTGCTTCTATGAGCGCAACTTGTTTGGATTCTACATGTAAGTGGGATCATGTGGCACTTGTCTTTCTGTGCCTGGCTTACTTCATTTAACATGATGTCCTCCAGATTCACCCATGTTGTCCCAGAAGACAAGGTTTCCTTCTTTTGTAGAGCTGGATAGCATTCCATTGTGCATGCATATCCCATTTCTTTACCATTTATCCACCAATAGATGCTTCAGGTTGATTCTGTGTCTTGGCTCTTGAGAACAATGCCGCAGTGAGCACGGACATGCAGGTGCCTTTCTGGCCTGCTCATCCCCTTTCCTTTAGCTGTATACCTATAAGTGGGGTCGTGGGGTCTTACGGGAGTTCTAGTTTTCATTTCACAAGGAACCTCCGTACTGTCTTCCACGATCGCTGTGCTGATTTATTTACGTTCTCCCCAACAGTGCAGCACTGTCCCCTTTCCTCCATATCCCGGTCAACCCTTGTTTTCTTTTGTCCTGTTGCTAATAGCTATGCTAGCCGGTGTGAGCTGGTAGCTCATTGTGGTTTTAATTTGCATTTCTCTGATGATTTGTGATATTGAGCAGTTCTTCATGTCCCTGTTGGCCACTTATGGGTCTTCTTTTGAGAACTGTCCGTATTCTTTGCCATGTTTTAATTGGGTTATTTCTTTTCTTGCCATTTCATTGTTTGATTTCCTTTCCTACTTTGGATATCAGCCCCTTATCAGATGTACGGTTTGGCAAATTTTATCTTAGATTTTACCCTTTTCCATAAAAGGTCAGAAGACAGATTGCCTTCAGGCCCAGAAACAGAGATTTAAATGAACACTGAGATTTGGTTCTCTAAAAACGGTTTTATAGGTAGGAAAATGTTTCTGGTCAGCAGTTTAGAATTTATGTTTGTCAGGAACAGTTGTGAGAATGGAAATTGCAGTGTCAGCGTGTAATCACTTTCAGCCAGATCTTGAAATTTGCTTAATTTCCACTCTCGTGTCATATAGGGCTGAGAAGGATGTTTTCCAACAAAGGAGTCTTTTGAATCATTTGTTTAAAGAATTAGAATCGAAATGCTGTGTTAGTACAGGCTTGATTGCTTCCAAAGTGTTTTTTCTCTCGTAGGGGTACAGAACAGGCTACGCTTACAGGCATCCTCTCATTCGAGAGAAGCCGAGGCACAAGAGTGACGTGGAAATCCCAGCGACTGTGACCGCCTTCTCCTTCGAAGACGATACGGTGCCCCTGTCTCCTCTCAAGTACATGGCCCAGAGACAGCAGCGGGAGAAAACCAGATGGCTCAACTCGCCAAATACTTACATGAAGGTGAACGTGCCTGAAGAGTCTCGGAACGGGGAGACCAGTCCCAGGACCAAAATCACAGTACGTCACTATTTTTACATGGTTTGCCTTTACTAAATATCTTGTGTTCTACCTCAAAATTACTTGGGAAAATAGAATATAGTATTAAAAATACTAACATGCCAGTCGTGCTCAGGTATGAATTTTGTGCAAGGCATTGATCTAAGTGCCATACATGAATTATCTCCTTTAATTCTCCTGATAGGAATTGAATGTGGTTTTTTTGTTTGTTTGTTTGTTTGTTTTGTTTTACGTCTAAGAAAACCAATGCCAGAGTACCCATTTCTGGATAGTAAAGTCAGGATCTGAATGCACAGTCTGATTCTGGAGCCCAGTTCTTACCCACCAGATGACACTGTTTTGTTGCTTAGTACCAGTGAAGCAGAACTGTGAGAGTATTAACGAATTGTGCCTAAGTTGCACAGATTATTGTACATAGGTATCGTTAGACAAAATATTATGGGTAGAAAAATGGGTCGTTTTAGTTCTTCGGATTTTTTCCTTCAGAATTTTGCTTCAGATTTGGTTTGGTTTTGGAGTGTTAACTGCCAAATATCCTCTATATACTCAGAATTAGTCCATCTTATTATCTCAATTAATGGTTCTCAGTGTAGCAGTGCCTAGGGAGCAGTGCTTTTCCCACGTTATAAGATTTCTTATATCCAGTAGAAATGCATCATTAAACTCGTGAGTTTCCCTAGACTCAGTGTATTAACAGAGACTGATTGTCAGCCATCATTAATTTCTCTAAATACTGGCTTTCTTTAAAGTTTACAAGGTGGGGTAAATAAGAAAAACCATATATAATTTCTTTCCAGTCCTACGGTTCTGTCATGCCATGAACTGCCAGGTAGCCTCATCATAAAGTGCTAGTTAGGAGCTCAGCCTTTTCTGTCAGCCATAAATAAAAAGCGAAGTCTGGAAAACAAAATCTTAAGCGAATCCTTGAGTCATTTTTGGTGACTCTTTGGCAATCATTACCTGATGACCCTTCAGTGGAGGAGACAGGACTGTGAATAGGAGTTAATGCGAGACCATGCTCTGTGCCTGTGCTTCGAGTAGTTTCAGCATCGTACTTTCAGTTGCCAGAGGAGAAAGTTTAAGTAGCAGTGTAATTGAGTATTCGTGTGACTAGTAATGGTATCTGGGTATTTGGTTTTTTTAAGTCAATACTGATTGTGAACTTTTTCCTAACTACTATGAGATCTCAACTGAGTGACCACTAAGATACTGCTTAGTGAAATTCTTTAAAGGATGGCCAATATATGCCCCCCTTGAGATCATAACAGTTACTGAGCACGTAATATTTCCATAATATTTCCTTGACTCTTCAGTGGATGAAAGCAGAGGACTCCTCTAAAGTTAGTAGCGGAACACCTATCAAAATTGAAGATCCAAATCAGTTCGTTCCTTTGAACACGAATCCTAACGAGGTACTAGAAAAGAGAAATAAGGTAAGATGTGGCCTTCTGTGGTCGGGGAAGCACTCTTTACTTTGTTTTATGTTTAAGTCACTAGTGATTGAATCTAATTCATAACACAGCGGTTTGACTACAGAAGAATTCGAAATCTAGTTCAATATAGCTTGTATTGGATACTTCTAGCTCTGCTAGTCGTTGGTGAACAGGCTTCGTGGGGAAGAAATTGTAAATCTTTCTGCCTTAAAGGACCTTGGTATTAGGGGCAGTTGTAGTTCTCTTACTGAGTAAGACCGTAGGAAAAGAGAAAGCAAAGATCAGCCACGTGTTGCTCCTTAGAACTTGTTTCTTCTTTCTGTTCAGATTCGGGAACAAAATCGATACGACTTGAAGACAGCAGGACCACAATCTCAGTTGCTTGCCGGAATTGTTGTGGATAAGCCTCCTTCTGTAAGTCCCATGAAGTAACATGATCTTTGTTTTTGATCTACCACATTAATTTCTTTGCTGTTTTGTTTTGTTTTGTTTTGTTTTTAATTGAGAGAGGGCAGGCATGTGTGCTTGCTGGTGAGAAAGGGACAGAGGGACAGAGCACCCTCCAGTGGGATGTGACCGTGCCGCAATCCCTCCTCCATTTGTCCATCCTGTCAGCATTTAGGGTGTGCGTGCACATGTGCCTGGCATGTTTCCAAGCTGCCTGGGCTGTATGCAAACCATAGTCAGTCACGTGGGATCTGGCTCCCTTAACCACTGGGCCACAGGGTCAGCCCAGCTTTTTAAATATGAACATTTATTCTGACTAAAGTTAATATAAACACAAGTTAAAAAGCCAAATAATCCACAAGACTTAAAATGCCACCCTCAATTCCCAGTTTCTAAGGGCAAGGAATTTTTGTTCTTTTCATTGCTTCTCACATTTATCCTGATGTTTATAAAGAGCATCTTTATTCTGTTTTCTCTGAGTTAATGAGTTTTAGGACTCAGCTGTACTTTGTTGAATCTTTTGAGTCACTGGAAAAGTCATGACACATTTTGCATAGAAAAATACATCATGACTTTTCCAATGACTCAATATGTCATTGATTATAAGAAGTACCTTATTTTTTGGGAGGGGGGAAAGAGATTTTTGCTATAGGGCGCATACGCTCACCAGAGAGAGACAGAAAGTGAGGAATCACCCCCCAGGGGGGATGGCCATGCCGCAATCCCTTCTCCTCAATTCTCCTCTTGGGATCTTGGACATGTATGCACACGTGCCCTGCGTGAGTTTAAGCCACCAGGTCTGGGACTCAAACCGTGATTGACTACGTGAGAGTGCAGCGACATAGCCATTACGCCAACTGCTGGTCCCAAGAAGTACCATTTTTTCAAAAAAAAAAAAGAATTATTTTTATTTAACTTTATTTATTCATTTATTTATTTTTGACCAGAGAGGGACAGAGTGAGAGGAAGAGAGGGAAAGGGAGAAAACAAGCCGACAGGTCTGGGACTTGAACCACGGTCGGTCGACTATGTGGAAATCGAGCACCCTTCACCAACGCCACCTGCCGGCCCCAGAAGTACCAGTATTTTATGTATCACTGAAAGAGAAAAAACACTGCCACTTGTAATTGTAAGAAGCCATAAGTTATGATTTTCAGTGTCAGAAATGGGAAAACATGGGAGAAGAGTCTACCTCAGTGGTAATGGCAGTAGTGGCCTCTTTGTGGGAAGCCGAGGAGCTGGCCTGTCTGTGCACTGCTTCCCTTTTTCCTCGTTCCCACTCTCCCAGGAAAGCTATCACAGGATTTGTTGTTAAGTCAGCTTTCACCATTACACCTTCACGGCCGGGCAAGGCAGTATCCCATGATTGCATTTCCTTTCCTTTTTTTTTTTTCCTCTTTGGAGAGGTTTTTTCGCTATAGGGCGCATGCGCTCGCCAGACAGGCAGAGAGAGACATAGAGACAGAAAGCGAGAAATCACCTCCCAGGGGGGATGGTTACGCCACAATCCCTTCTCCTCCATTCTCCTCTCGGGATCTTGGACACGCACGCACACGCGCCCGGCGTGAGTTTTAAGCCACCGGGTCCAGGACGCGAACCGCGGTCGACTATGTGGGAGTCGACCAGCGACATAGCCATTACACTAACTGCTGGTTTCCCCTTTCCTTTTAAAAAGCATTTGTTTATTCATTTCCATTTGTTGTTATTTTTTAATTTGACCAGGCAGAGACACAGAGACAAAAAGAAAGAAAGACAGGGAAAGTGAGAAAGCAAGCCACCAGGTCTGCGATTTAAATCACGGTCAGCCATGTGGGAATCCAGCACCTTTCACCACCACGCCACCTGCCGGCCCCTATATTTCCTTTCATATACAAGCTTTCTCTCTGGAGTTAATCATTCCCCCTTCTTTATATTGGCTTAGTATTTTTGACACATAGCCTTAGTTCTTCCCAATCTTTGAAAAGAAACAGAATGTTAATATTGTTTTCTGAAGGGTCGAAGGCAATAGGTAATCTTTTTAGCACCCCCCGACCCCATCCTCTGGGCCAAATCTGGACTGTTCTTCAGCGAGCTGCTCGGGTCTGTGCTGAGGACTCCTCCGCTTTTCGTCCTCTGGGTCGTCTTCTGTTTCCTGTGCCGTGTGTCTTCTGCTTTCTCGATGTACTTCTGCTTCTCGATGTACAAAGCACACCCTCTGGCAGCTTTCCGAGAAAGGGTACAAAGGCTGTATGACTTCATTGTGCCTTTAAATATGCATGTAATGGATCCACAACTCTAACTTGGAAAACATTTCCCTTAAAATAGGATAAATATCCCTCTGTTTCCCCTAAATCTGTTTTATCATTGAGAATTAGTGAGGGCATTATGATCCTTATGATTCTAAAACCTTATTTAGGATCCTCCTTTTTTTTTCTTTTAGACCTTTTCTACGTCCCTGCCATTCTGAAATTGTGTGATTATGTGCCGTATGGTGGCTACTGTCTCCTTAGTCTGTATGCTTAACATCTATCTAATAACCCTTTTCAATCTGCAAAGCATATCATTCACTTCTAAAGGTTTTTAAAGTATTTCTTCAATAGGTATTTTTTTTCTTCTAATAGTTTTCTTTTTCTGTCAGTACATTCTATTAGCTAGTTTGGATGTTCGAGTCTCTTTTTTTTTGCTATAGGGTGCATGCACTGAAGAGACAGAGACAAGAGAGACAGAAAGCAAGAAATCACCCCCCAGGTGTGATGGCCATGCCACAATCCCTTCTTCTCTCAGGATTTTGGACACACGTACACACATACATACATTTTAAGCCACTGGGTCCAGGACTTGAACCGTGGTTGACTGTATGTGACTCCAGCAACGTAACCATTATGCCATCTGCTGGTCCCTGTTTGGGTCTCTTTATGTCTCTTTGAATTTTATTTTTTCTACTTTTCATTTCTGTCTTTTCAGCCTACTGTCTAGGAGAGATTATATTTTCTAGCCTTCTACTTCGTTTTTAATTTTCTTTTTAAAAAAATTTTTTTAAAGAGTTCTTATTCTCTGAATGTGTTTTTTGTTTTTGTTTTCTGTTTCAGGTTTTTGCCATAGGGTGCATGTGCTTGCTGGAAAGAGACAGAGAGAAACACAGAGAGGGGAACTGAGAAGTCACCCCTCCAGGGGGAATGGCTACACCATAGTCCCTTCTCCTCTCTTCTCCTCTTCAGATTTTGGGCGCACACGCACATGCACCTGGCATGATCTTCAAGCTGCCAGGTTCAGGGCCCAAACTGTGGTGGGCCTGCTTTAACCACCTTGCCGTCTGCTAGCCCTGAATATTCCTTTTAAAATAACATTTTGAACTTTGTTTCATGGATATAGTATTTTTTCTCTTATTCTCAGAGAATCAATTTTAAATTTTCTTCAGCAGCCTTATTCTCTCTGTTTTTCTCAGTTTCCTTTTGCTTCTTGATTTTAGTTTCTGTCTTCCATGTTGGAAGTTTTCCTCAAGTCTCCTAATCTATAGCAGTCTGTTTATATTGAGGAGTGAGAACACGAGTCTGTCAGGAGCTCTGGGTATGTGCAGAGCCTAGGGCTGGTGAGCCTCACTGCAGGATGACTGGGTATAGACCAAGTTGTTTCTCTGGGGAATCCCCACGCCTTTCTTATCTGCAGTTTTATCTGAGGCCACTTTATCTGGAGACTTCTCTAGCTTACTGCCAGTCTCTTACTGGGAGCTTTCCACTATGTTTTATGTCCCCTCATCAGTTTTTCTGGAGAATAAGCCTTTGATCTCCTGCGGAAATGAAAGAGAAGTTCGTGCTTAGCTTTGTGGAATAGGGAAGGAGCTCTGGGGATCTGTCTGTCCCTTTCTCAGTCTTTAAACGTGTCCCTATACTTTCAGCCCTTCTTTACCACCACCTTCTAGGCCACCTGGTGCCTCCAGCCTCTGAGCTGTGCTGGATCTCTTGAGGGCAAATGGACATGCTTCTCATTTGCATCCTCCTTTCTCAGCTCTGCTACCCACTCTTCTGCTTCCAAGCACATCTCATCCTCTGTCGTCTCCTCTCCATTCGCTGGCCTTTAAAAGCTTATAACTGGACAGCCACAGTAGTGCAGGCAGGAAGGTGCCACTGCACAGTGGCTGAGGCCTCGTGGGAGGCCCGACCTCAGGCAGGTGTGTGGGTGGTGGTGTGCACTTGGTCCTCGCTAACTGGAAGGCTGCAGTGGGAGGGTCGCAAAGCAGTAAGACCTCATCTAAAATACCACCGTCCTTCCCTTTCTTTCTCTCTCTCTCCCTGCTTTGCTTTCTCACATAAAAAAAATTATGACTTATTTACCCACAATCCTGAAAGGAAGAAACAGAGAAGGAATTGTGACGTAACTATCTCCCATGGGGGTTGCTTTCTCCCTCCCTCTCTCCCTCCTCTCTCTCTCTCTCTCTCTCTCTCTGGTGAGGGCATGTGCTTTCTGACAAATTTTTTAAAAATGATTACAGTATATTATAATATACTTGTATACATACCCTTATTGAGGAAACATCACTGGCAGTTTTAATCCATTGGGTCAGTAGTTTAAGTGCATTAATATGAAAAGAGTTTGTTTTGTTTTGGTTTTGGTTTTGGTTTTGAGAGGGTTTTTTTTTTGCTATAGGGTGTGTGCACTCGCCAGAAAGACAGAGACAGACTGCAAGAAATCACCCCCAGGTGCAATCCCTTCTCCACTCCTCTCGGGATCTTGGGTATGCACACACGTGCGCCTGGCATGAGTAAGCCACCGGGTCCGGGACTCAAACTGCGGTTGGCTACATGAAGAGTCCAACGACATAGCCATTACGCTAACTGCTGGTCCCTGATAAGAATTTTTTAAACAAAGTATTGTTGCCTTGTCGTTTCTTATGATTGTGAAGCTGGTTGTCACAATATATATACATTTATATGTGTGTATGAGTGTGTGTCTGTATACATAGACAGAAGAGAAATTCTTGGTAATTAGTCTATTTTGTTTTTCTTTGCAAGACTATGCAATTTGAAGATGACGATCAAGGCCCCCCAGCTCCTCCTAATCCATTCAGTCATCTTACAGAAGGAGAACTTGAAGAGTATAAGAAGACAATCGAGCGTAAACAGCAAGGCCTGGAAGGTTAGTTCATTTTTAGATTAAGCCTTAGGTAAACACACTGTAACAATAGAGCAGGACTATAGAAGGCAGCCTGCTTTTTAAAAGTGTTTCATCTGTAATCGAGTGTTCCACTTTGTCTACCCCCACCCTACTGAGCATGGGTTGGGTGGGAAGGAAAGAACGACCACAGATGCTGTAGCTTAACACATAGAGAAGGCTGTTCTTCCTCCAAAAGCAGTCTGTGTGCTATTTTATAGTAAAATCCGATATAAAGAGAAATCTTAGACAAAGAATTACTAACCAAGGTAGATGTAGCCACATTAATAGATATAAACATTTCCAAAAACGTTTATTTTTATAGATCCACAAACACATAGTTTCCATGCCTTGTAAAATCTCTGTTCCTGGTTGTCTCAAGGTGCCAATGTTGTCACTCAGAATCAGAATTGAAAGCGCACTGCTAGAATTCTGATGTGACTCTCCTTAAGCATGTGGGCACTCTAGTGAAGCTGAGCTTTTCTGACTTTGGAACCCTTAGTAAGTAGTTTCATAGGCTTATATTTGTTAATGAAAACATCACAGTAAAGAGGGCTAATGAATACTAGCTCTCTTCTTTTCTGGAATAAGGTGTTCTTTCTCAAGGGACCTCAGTCTGGGGTCTTTTGCTGAACTTCGTACAGTGCGTGAGCCGCCTGAAAGACACGTGCTTCGTTGTGAATGATGAACATAGAGGGGAGGGGGTTCTGGGCAGGAGGTGGGGAGTCTTCGATTCCAGCAGAGGTTAAGGTTATAGTGTTTTAGAGCATCCCCGACCCACATTTGAAATGCTTACCCGAGGCAAAACAGAAGCCAGAAGTTAAAGAGCTTTTGTCCAGATGCTATCACTTAGGAAGAAGTTTTTATCTGAGACCTTTTAATTTATCTGGAGAAGTCTCCAGCTCACTGCCGGTTTCTCTCTGTTGTTCTGGGAGCCCTCGGGTGTGTGTCATGTCCCTTCATCAGTTTTTGGATAACACCTGGAGCATTCAAGGATGGTGTTTATCAATGTGCTAGTACCTTTTTCACAAAAAGCGAGTCATTCTGCTCTTAACGTAATTACACTGAAAGTTCTGAATAGTATTGAATCTGTTTGTTCTAACATAAGGTTGGAAGCTTTCTCTATTTTTAGTATTTTATAAAATGTTCCTCTTTAATCTCTTATTTTTTGGAAGCCTAAAGATGCCAGGTAACAAATACTGCACTCTAGATCCATCACCTTTAATATGTAACTTTTTTAGTTTCTTCCACATTCATTATGACATTGTGAACTAGCTCGCTAATATTGCTCTGATAGGAATCACTAATTGGATATCGTTCAAAAGTTCAGTGAAGCATTCTGCCTCGTTACTGTAGCATCATTGGTGAGGCTTCATAATTCTTTTCATCTGGCTGCTCAGCGTATTTTGGTTTTCTAACAGTACCCAAAGCTACGTGCGGACGTATTATTTGCCTGGGCTGCCAGCAGTCATGCTTCCTTTGTAACCCCGTGTGTAAAATTATTATTTGCGACCAAAAATGTTAACACGTTCACCTCTTCTTAGTGTGTAGCTATTAATATATGGGATGGCCATGAGCATGCTCAGCTCATTGCCGCAGACTTTATTCCCTCCGTGTGTGCAGGCATTTGCTATGGGCACTAACCCTCCTTGAATCTTAAGCTTCTTTGTTTTCTTTTGCATGGCTTCTAACAAAACTCTTCTCCTACAGATGGTGAGCAGGAATTTCTCTCAGATGACGCTTCATCTGTTTCACAAATTCAGTCTCAAACCCAGTCACCGCAAAATGTCCCCGAAAAATTAGAAGGTATTCAGTGTAATTCCCCATAGCCTTCACTGAGTTAGACTTGAAAGTTTGCCCTTCTGTCCTTTGTTTTCATTTCATGTAAGGAATCTGAACACCTGATGACAGTAAGTTTGCCATAGATTGTCCTTAAATCTTTGGGTGATTTTTATATTTTTTATTAAACAGGATGCTATTTTTAATTCACTGTTTGTATTGACTTACCTTAATCTGGATATTTGCAACCCATAGTTCTTAAGAATTTGTGGAATTAAAATGGATTTATCCTACATCTTCCAATCAGCAGCATGAAATCTTATTCAGTTTTGATTGCCAGATGACCCCAAAACTAAAGAAAAATATACGTTTTGTTCCTCATTTATACTGACCTGATTTACAGTGAAACTGTCACGTCATCAAACTGAAATGATCTAGCTTGCATTCTTGGGTTTATCAACTTTGCTCCATTCCCCTTTATATCATTTAAGATCATTAGCTTTATGCTAGTAGAGCCATACTTCACTAAAATAATCATCTGCCATCTTTGGAATTAAAGTAATGCCTTAATACATTGCCAAAATATTTCAGTTTTGTAAAATTACAAGTGTTAGCAACGTAAAATAACCCAAAACCCTGCCTTTTTGTAGAAAACCATGAGCTGTTTTCCAAGAGCTTCATGTCCATGGAAGTGCCTGTCATGATAGTAAACGGCAAGGATGATGCGCAGGATGTTGAAGAGGAGCTTGCAAAGCGCGTGAGTAGGTTGACTACCAGCACGACCATAGACAACATCGAGATTACCATTAAGTCTTCTGAAAAAATCGAAGAAGTCCTGTCCCCTGAAGGCTCCCCTTCAAAATCACCATCGAAGAAAAAGAAGAAATTCCGTACTCCTTCTTTTCTGAAAAAGAACAAAAAAAAGGAGAAAGTTGAAGTCTAAATAAAGCCTTTTTATAGTTATTTACAAAGTGACATTGCACATTTAAAGCCCACATTTCAGTTGATCATTAATATGCAGTGGTAGGCCAGATTGGGGCTATGAAACAAACTGGACTTTAAGAACTGGAAAGAGGTTTTACTAAAAAAAAAAAAAAAAATTATAAAAAAAACTTTCAAATTCATCTCTTATTTTGTATACCCAAAAATGACCTTGAATTTTTAAACAATTGATAGTTTTAACTAGCTCAACCCTCATAAAGTATTACTGTAGCTCACTATAAACAGATATCTGTCTGAATTACTTCAGGCTTCTCCATAATATCTGTTGGAAGGAAATTGCCAGTGAATAGTGAGAATTTTTATTTCTCAACATTTGTTTCACTTGGTAATCCAACTGTGATTTTTTATCTTGATTATCAACTGTATCTTTGGGGTCCCCATTGTTTCAGAGGGCATTAACAGAGTGCTTTAAAAGCTTCTAAATAAGAATCTATAGCATTAGTATACACTGGCACATAATTTTTTAAACAGTTTTAAGAAAAGATTCATTTGGAATTTTATTCATAGTATAAAATTTCCTCACCTGAAGTAACCTCGTTTGCCAAAAACAAAGTCATTTTAGTAAACTATAATTTTTGAAAACTTCCTTTTTTATTCATTTAGAAAGCCCCTTATTTTTCAACAAAGGGGATTTTGTACACATAACATGGGTTATTTAGTTTAACTCTGGCAAAAACAATTTTTGTATGTTAAGATGTTTGTATACCATTCAGTATAAAAGTGTCATATCAGCCAATCATTTAACAATAGAGCATATTTGAGGCTACTTGGTACTGAGTATACTTAAATATAAATCAAGAATCCAGGGACTTGGTATCAAAAGAGATTAGAGCATATAAGGGGATATCCAGATTCGTATTTGAATCTTATCATGTATTTTTATCTTAGTATTGCTAATGAATGAAGAAAATTTCATAAAGTAGCCAAATTAAAAGAATGAAAGGGAAAGTAAGAAATTAAGGGAACAAAAGATGGGACATGAAAAGAAAAATTCTAGTTTGATAAGTGACTGCTATTTACAATAGGGTGTAAAGTGTAAGTTATTGGAAACATGTCCCAAATTTCTAAAATTCTGCTTCTCTGCCATAACCAGTGTCTTTCTTGGTTGATATTTCGGTTTTAAAAGCATCAGATCCTTCTAACTTGTAAATCATGAAGGTCAGCACTAGGATATATCAGGAGGTCTAATCCCGCCGGTGAGAAAACTACCACTTTTTGATTTAAATTTTCTTTATCTTTTCATTTAACTTTCTTCCTAATGTAAATACAGATTTAAACCTAGGCTTAATATAGTACCCCCCCCATCCAAGTGATGTCACAAATCAATGTAAAATCAATGATCCAAAATGCTCAGTTAAAATAATCCAAAGTGTTTCTGGAGGGTGAGTTGGCATGCAAAATGTTACATTGATTACAGTGTGTTCTGGGGCTGGTTCTGTTTGGCTGTGTGTATACAGTGATGCAAAGCTGAAACAGAGCCTGGAGATGTCATTCTAGGTCTTACTAACTACTGGAATCAGTGTTTTAATCTCTTAGTGGAAACTTTCAGTTGCTTAACTCTGTATTTGAGGATTTTGTTTCACGTTCTACATCATTTATGTTGTATTACGATGTATGTAGAAACAGTAACCTGTGAACTATGCTTTTCCATAACTTTTAAAATATATATATATATATATCTAAATGGATGCAATGTGCATAAATATTTTTTAAACGCAACAGTGAACTATTGCACCTTTTGCTAATGCCTCTATTTACTTGCTTTGGCATAAAGAATGAGCCAATGAACCTCTGTGTCCTGTGGAAAAATGTATAAATGTTATCTGATATTGCTCTTAGATGTAATGCTAATTAATGTTAAATCACAAATAAACAGTATTTTAAATATACAGATTTGGTATCATGAGGTTTCTGTCCAGCAGTGGTTGCTTAGCCTACTACTTTGTGGTCTGTGGCATTTTGGCCTTCAGTGAACCTTTAAGATTGATGCCTCCAAATAAGGAATGTTCTAATGTTCTAATTTTCAGATCAGTTGAAAATGTGTAATGATATATATAAAACCTTTTTTTAAAAAAATACATTTCTTCCATGAGGAGGAAGACACACAGCCAGCACCCCCAGCAGGGTCTTGCTGCTGTTACCCTTTCCCCAGCCCAGCCAGTCCCCACCCAGGAGCACACAGTCCCAGTAAACTCAGGGAGGTCTGCGGACACAGGCCTGGAACCTCCCCATGGGGATTAGCCTCTGAATGTTCCATTTCCCTGCTGGGCTGCCCTCTTGAAACCTTTCTCGTTTCAATTCACAATGGAGGAAATGCTCCCCTAGGAGACCCATTTTCTGTCTTGGTGGGGGACAGTGGCTGTAGCATTCTGGTCCTAGTGTCTGTCTATCAGTGTACGAGGCTAGAAGGTGTGGTAGGGTATGTCCAGGGTTTACACAGTACCCCCGTCTTTGATTTTTTTTGTTATTTTTTATTGTTTAATGCCAGAGGGACGATGTACGAGCCAGAGAGAGGACGCTCACCCTGGCAGGACAGGACCGGCACCTCGCTGCCCTTTTCCCTCCATGACTCTATCCCCACAGGATCCTGGGCATGCGCACACATGCCCCCAGCATGTTGCTCTAGGGGCTGGGATTGGAACCACAGCTGGCCACGTGGGATCTGGCTTACTCTGCACATCGCTTACCCACCGCACGATGGGGCCAGCCCTCTTATATTTTTAATTTATTTATTATTCAAATAACAGTGTAACACTGAAAAAAATAGCAGAAAGAATTAAAATAATTCATTGTTCTACCATATTAACATTTTCAAATGTTTGTTTCTTCCAGCGCTTGTCTAGTCATACATGTGTTTTCTATATATTGATAATTATGGTGTGAATGTAATTTTCATTCTGGGCTTTTTTTTTTTTTTTTTCTACTTAGCATAGAACAATCCAGCCTAGAAAATTTCTAAACAAAATTTTTCACATGAATAATTTGTGATTGTTTTTCCCCCCACTTTGTCCTAAAAATAGAGCACAAGAGGGGAAATCATGTGAATTGAGGGTTCTGGTTAATCGACGTTTTTACTGTAATTACCCATTATTAAAATGAAAGGTTTGGGCAGGGAAGAACAGATTCAGTTTGGGTCATATTTAATTATTACCTTGATTTGTAAATTACTCTGGGTTAAAATAAATGTTGTTTTAGAAGGATGCTCATTTCAAAATTCCTTTCCATAAAGCAAGCCGATTGTCCTCCGTTGGTTCTTTGGAGTCAGTATAGCATGAAAGGTAGCTGCCTCTACCCTTTATCTGTTGATCAGTATTTTCATGCAGTAGGGAATAAAGAAAACCGAATGGATAAAATGGTTGGCACTGAATTTTCTTACGAGATTAATGCCTTTCTTTTCTTGCCTTTTTTCCTTTCTTTTTGTTCATTTGACATAGAGAACACTTGCAAGTAAGTTGGCAATTTTTCAAACGAAACGGCGATATTCATAGGTACCAATTCGCAATCTTGGCTGAACTGGGATTTTTTAAAAGTGGCCACTAGAGGGAGTCATGACCTAACAATCCAGCACGTTTCCAGCCTGTGCCTTCAACTTGCCTTTTTATAGTCCTCAGGCACCATATTTGTTGTGGAATACCCAGAACTTAAAGAGAAGACGCGTCCTTTGTTGCTCATCTTTCTCCTCCCGGGATCGTGCACCTCGTTGTCTTAGCGGGCCCCCTCTCACCAATGCAGATACCGTCTGCAGTGAGGACAGTAATGCTGCCCATCGACAACACTGAAAATGTTTGAGGTGTGATCTCAGAAAAAAATAAAAATAAAATATAGTGATGAGGAGGGCCACGTGGTGGCACAGCAGTGGGATGTGGTCTGTGAGGCTGAGCCACCTGGGACATGTCTGGAGGCCTCCCTGAGTGCCGTGGCCCATGATTTGGGATGGCTGGAGGTTGGTCGTGGCTTCGGAACCCTGTTGTGGGTGCTGTCTCTCTTGCTCACTCATGGAGATATCTGAATAAACTTTAAAAAAGAAGCAACAGTGATAGGAAATGACTCCAAGGAATTTTTATGCCTGTGAATTTTATCAATTTAAAGCTTCCTTCAATAATTGCCTTTTTCTTTTTTTTTTTTTCCCTAAGGAACTAATTGATAATGCCTATCATTTTTTTTAAATGCCTTCTGTGAACCAAAGATGATATTAAGTGTTTCTTAGATATTACCTCATTCGGCCTTCTCAGCCTCCCCCCAGAAAAGCATTAATAGATAATATCCCTATTTTGTAGATAATGAAACTGAGGCTTATAGCAGATGAAGAGGTGTTGATATTTCACTCTCGGAGATTCAGACTTCTAAGATCACTAGTGTCATGTGTGTGCCAGACCCTGAGTGACCCAGGGTACACTTCCACGGGTGTTTTTAGGCAGGGGCAATTTCCCTTGGTTTGGGCTGAGGCCAGCCATGGTGATGTTTTAATATAAATAGATGGGAGTTAAAACATTAACTTTGATTTAAAAGACTCTTTTTCCCAACAGATGACCCTAAAAGTGGAAGAAGGTGAGTATGTGACAGCAGTGGCAGTGCCCTTCAGGACAGGGAAGCAGCTCCTGGGCCAGCCAGGTGGTATGGTGGCAGAAGTGGCTGGATCCCCCACAGCCAACTGCACAGCTCGGGTCTCAGATCCGGTGTTTGAGGAACATGTCAGGTGCCTGTGAGTTGCACGCCCAAAATCTTGAAAGGAGAACAGAGGAGGGATTGCAGCATGGCCATCCCCCCGGGGGGTGCATTCTCACTTGACTGACTCTCTCCAGTGAGCACAAGCACACTGGAACAAATGAAATCAATCATTTTTTAAGTGGCTCTTGAATCTTCACAGTGACAGCTGTAAAGAAAAGTATCTGTACCTTTGCGTAAGGTGCAACAGAGACTTGGGAAGGGGCCTTTTTCTCTCTTCCTGTTTCCCTTTGGATTCCTATGGGAATTTTCGTTTCCAGTTCCCAATATTGGAAGCTGGAGAGGCATTCTAAGGAAAGTGTTTTTAAAACCTGAAACAATAGTCTAGTTATAGACGCAGTTTTAAAGATCCGAAATGGACTGTATGTGCTTGCAACTTCACCCAAGTGAGAAGGTGGTCTTTCTCCCAGCACCCCAGAATGTACCTGCTAGCGGATCAAAACAAGAATGAGCCTTCGGTCAACTTTTTTTTTTTTTTTTTTTGGACAGATTTTAACTGTAGGGCGCGGGCGG